GCATCATCTAGAACTATTGAATCTATAGGACATAAAACTCGACAATCATTTGTTGACCTTTTATCACCACAAGAGAGTCCCTATTACGTACAGAGTACTTGACAAAATAAAATTTTGGATTTTAAGTGCTAGTACGTGTCAAATGCTTTCACAACTCCACCGAACGTTTCAAATTGTTCCTTTAGACATTGATTCATATATCGAAAAATAGTATCGATTGCCACATACGTAAAATGTGTAATTAGATTCAAGAATTCACTCATTACTTACAACAGAATCTATAAGTAGAAGCAAATAACAAGAAGTTTACCATCAATGTAATCTTTCACTAAGTTAAATTCACAAGATTTTTAAGTTTGTTTCAAATTATAAACGATAACCTCCATTCTATACAGAAACGTGAATCATCAAAATAAAAAAACATTTCAAACTACAAGTGATAACTAGAAGTCTATAATAGCATCTAACTATGAGTTTTTCAGCAGAAATAAAAAGAGCATGACAATTCTTATTAATATGAATAGACAAGATGTTATCGTAGATGAATTTCCAATAATATCATCATACTTCAAGTCCATATGATAGTTGTATGACTAATGTGTATGTATGATATGACAGATGTGTATCAGAAATGTTTGCTTACATTCTTATTGACCAGCACTTGAAGTCTGTTCTTGACTATCTCTTTCATGAACTTACAAACATAATATCCACACTCGGTACCTCCCGACTGACAGGGACACTACAAACAATTTACAATAAACGATTAGTCAAATTGAAAGCTGCAATTTAAACAAGGAATGATCGTTTGAAGTCCTCACCAAAACATTGAACCAATTGAGGCTAACCCTTTTGTTAGATCCACTTTTAGCAGTGTACAATTTTATTCCCCCATAAAAATTGATGAAATATATCAAAGAATATACTATAATGTTTTGATAATTTATGTTACTTACGCATCAATAACTTGCTTCAACTACTGATGGACATTGGTGGGCCCCAAGGAATCAAGATAATAACAACTTGTTGCTTTCATATCTATCACTGCCAACACCCAATGTCTTCTATAAAGACGAAAAACCAAATTAAGTTTCTAAAATATATTGATAATCAAATGAAAAAACAAACTCGGGATTATATGGCACTTGGACGATGTCATTTTCATTTCTTAGAGACAATCGATCTGCAACGCTTCGAATTGCCTCATCGCTATTTTTGAATTTTGCCTTACGTCCTGATGGAGAGATTGCAGACGAGCTCATAAAATAAATTCCATGATTTATTTTTGGCCCATTCTTGATTTCCTCAAACAAGTACCTATATATTAACATTAGACAAGTACGATGATTAAATATATTGTGTTTGAATAAAATTAAAATTATGCACTTACATCATATAACAAATAATCGCAGAACCTATCATCTCATCCACAGTAAAAACCACTTCAAAATCTTCCCAAGTTATGTACGTGAAACTCTCGTACCCAAACATATCGTCCTCACATTGCACTTTCACGGACTCCACATTTTTAAGTTGTATATCAACCATACGTGCAAACACTTTCAAAACACGGTTGTTTTCAACTCTTAGCCTTGTCCTCATTTGTGCTCTCCTACTCTTCCTTTGCGGTGTTCCCTCATCATTTTCTTTCTTTTTTTCCCTTTTTGGTGTCCATTCTACTTTTCCTTTTTCCTTTGCAGTGTCCCTTCTCCTTTACCCTCTTCATTTTCTTTCTCTTTTTCCGTCTTTAGTGTCCCTTGTCCTTTCTCCTCTTCCTTTTCAACAAGTTCTCTTTATCGTTTTTTCCTTTATTACTTTCTACTTCATCTCCGTTCACACGTTTTTTCCCCATAAACGCCAACACTTTTTCCTACAAAAAAAATATAAATATATCATTTACATTAGACATATATAATTTCTTTAAATAAATGAAAATATTAACAAATCATAGCATCGAATGACTATATATCTAGGCCACTTCAGTAGGAACCCCACTGCATCTTTAACCTTGTAAATGAACTCCTCATATAGTGGAAACAGTAGTAAAGCATCTCCTTGCACACTCATTTCCATCATTACTTCAATGTTTTCACTTGTTATATAAAGTTATTACTAAGATACAATATTCTAAAAAGTAAAAAAGAAAACTGATATTTTTTGTAATACTTGATAGATCATTGTGCTTCACTACCGTTCCTTTGGAAACTATATTGGAGGCAATATCAATCGCAAGATAACAAGAAGTATCCTACAAATTATATATATATTAGTTGTAGTCAAGACTTACATTTAATTCGTACTATGATTTAATAAGACCTACAAGTAATTCCTCAGGTGGGTTGTCTTCAAAATCTGCTTTGCCCCACCCTTGGCAACTTGCGCCTTTAGAAGCATAATTTATCCCTTTTTGTAGTTTCTCTATTGCACCTTCAATTTTGTTGAACCTTTTTTCAATCTTTTTCTTCTGACCATCTAAGTAGTTCTTCACGGTATTGGGTAAGTAAAAGTATTGGCGTGACCTTACAAATTTGCCCATCCCTCGTACACGCCCAAGTTGTTCCTGGGTACCTAGGGCTTGGGTAAGCATGTCATTTGTTTCACAACTGACCTCTCCTAAAGTTTTTGACTTCTACATCTCTTCCTGTAGTGAAAGCAAATATTCATATTCAAAATATTTAAAAGATTAAAGCTCATATGGTGCTATAACAATAAGATGAAAATAAATAAAGTAGGAATGTTCATAGGAACTTACCATTTTATCAACAACAATCTGGACATTCGGGTCATAACCTCATTTTTTCATTTGTCTTGCCTTTTTCCACAACAATGCTCTATCAATCTCGTCTTCCTCCTTTCCCGTTTCTTGCATCTAAATTCAAAAGAATAACAACAATGAATTAACATAAACAACTGCATATCTAAACTATTCAAGTAATTTACTACATACAATCTCAAGAGTTAGTCCATCATATCATTTTCTACTCAACCGATGATTGTATCTATGTTGTCCACGCATTTTTTTAGCTTTCTGACTTATTTCCTGCATTAGAAACATTAAAACAGTCAAGACTGGTTTCTAAAACTAATATATATAACAAATACAGACAAATAAAAACTGGTTTCTAACCTCCCATTTATTTGAAAGTCTTTGCGATACAAAAACCTTCCACTCATCTATCTTCAAATAAGGATACATCTCTGGAGGGTTGAGCAAATTTGCATTAGGGTCATTCTTAAACTTCTCAATGAATTTCTTATACAAATAATGCTTAAAGTTCTTCCACTTTGTCCCAATGGATTGAAGGGTATTCTTCCGACTCCTTGGATCAAGTTCAAAATTCATCTGAAACATAAAGCATTAATTAAAAAATATTATTTTTAACAAAAAAAGATTAATTGGAAGTTAAGATCATATGTTTGACTTACCAAAATGTATTGCCATAAGTCTTTTTTTCCTGTTCAACATCTCGCCAAGTGGCATAAGTGATAGGAACCATTGATCTTGCTACCATGCCCTCAAAGGAAGCAAGTTTCGTTGCTTCAACGCCAATCGGAACACCCTTTTTATTTTAAGTAACGATAACTTTTCCTTTAGTAGTTTTTCCCTTTATTGTCGGACCTCTTTGTTTAGAGTCTTCATCATGAATCAAAGACTGATCCGATTCCATGGTACCAAGTACAACCTGTTTCAACATGATTCAAATAAAAAAAAGTTAGTACATTGTTATTTCTTGCAGTTGGGAAAAAATTAATAACATACAGATGTTGAAATAAAAGCATACCAAAAAGTTCAAAAAGATTTTATTTTGTACAAAATATTTTAAATTAATATGCCCTCGCCATCCGGGCGTGTACACAAGAAATCATCATCAAGTTCTACTAAAGGGGAGTCTTGTGAAAAATCAAAAGTAGCATGGTATTCCAACATATCATCAGTTTCACCATTTGCTCCATACTTGTACATCTTATGTGGTGTGAAGCTGACAACATAAAAATTCGCATCTTGTTGATCTTGAACATAAAAAACTTGTTTGGCTTGACTAGCTAATATGAAGCGTTCAAATTGGTGATCAAGCCTAGCAAAGTTAACCACTGTGAATCCAAAATCATTTTTTTTATTCCACGACTATCAACCCAATCACACATGAAAACAGGAATAGTGAATATGCGATAATCAAGATCCCATATCTCCTATATACGACCATAGTAAGTAATAGCTCCATACACGGGATTAGAGTCTTTTGCACTAGAAATCTGCATATCATGTGCAACTAGAGATACTCCACTACATTGAGTTGTTCTTGATTCATCTCGAGGTGTTGTATGGTTCCGATACTCATTTATGGCAAAACCGCTATATTTCTTCACAGCAAAACTTGGCCCTTTGGCCAACCAACGAACACTCTCAAAAATGTCTTCCCCGTTAGCGAAATGTGTATCAACCTTGGTCTTAAGCCAACTAATAAATGTTCGACTATGCTGAGTCTGCAACCATTTACTATTTCGAGAGGCACGAGGGTTATGATCCTTCAATCCAAAATATGTTGCCTAAATAATATTTGAAGATAAAATCATATTAGAAGTTAGAAAAAGTTTAATGCATTACATAGAGTACAAAGAAGACACAGTGGTTCTTACTCTATATATAGCTCCACATCAGCAGTGTTTCGTAATACATAAAGATGAGCTTCATCAAGTAGCTTAGCATCTACAACCTCGACTGTACCCCATGATAAAGGTTTACCGGTACAAATTCTTTCATCAACACGTTCATGAGGATTGCCAATTGATTTCATGTTTTTTAAGTATTCTGAGCAAAATTCCAAGGCTTCCTCTGCCACATAACATTCTGCAATACAACCTTCGGGTCGATGATGATTCCGTACATAGCCTTTGAGTGTTTTCATGTATCTCTCAAATGGATACATCCACCTAAAATGAACCGGGCCACATAACCTCACCTCTCTAACTAAATGCACCATCAAGTGGATCATGACATTGAAAAACAAAGGAGGAAAATACTTCTCTAACAAACACAAAGTTAATACGATGTCACTTTGCAACTTGCCTAGCTTATTAACATCAACGACTTTACTACACAACATGTTGAAAAAATGACAAAACCTATGATTTTTTTCCTCACTTTCACATGTAACACCCCCTTTATTGCAAAAGGGAGAAGTTGTTGCATCAGTACATGACAATCATTAGACTTCAAACCATTCATCTTTGATACATCATCAGACACGAGATTCTTGAAATTTGAACAATACCCATCAGGCACTTTTATGGCAAAGAGGGTCTTGTAAAACCAGTGTTTTTCCGTGGTATTCAATATGTAGCACGCAGGTGAAAGCCAAGTACGAATCCCTCTTGGTTGAGTTTGTAATTCAGGCTTAATGCCCATCGCCTCAAGATCTTGTCGTGCTCTTAACCCATCCTTTGTCTTGGCAGGAAAATTCAACAATGTCCCATAAACACTCTCACACACATTTTTCTCTATGTGCATAACATCTAACTGATGATGAACGAGCAACTTCTTCCAATATTCAAGTTAAAAAAAATCGATTTATTGTGCCAAAATTTAGCTCTCTCATCGATGCTTTCTTTTTCCTTCTTTGACGTTTTCTTCTTAGACGTTTTCTTCTTACCCCATGAAGTCTCAAACCTCGTCAGATAGTCGTAAATATCTTCACCTGATAATGGTTTTTTTATAACACCATCTTCTTGTTGGTTGTTGAAATCTTTTTTTTCTTTTACGAAGAGGATGTTGAAGTGACAGGAATCTTCTATGACCAAGAAAGCATACTTTTTTCGAATTTGGCAACCACTGTGAACAAGTATTCTCTGAACATATTGGACACGCATAATAACCTTTGGTAACACACCCCGAAAGATTACCATATGCGGGAAAGTCATTTATAGTCCAAAGTAATATTGCTCTTAGATTGAAGTATTCTTTCATATAAGCATCATATGTCTTCACGCCAGTTTCCCACAAGAGTTTTAGATCTGCTATCAATGGTGCCAAGTAGACATTAATATTGTTACCAGGTTGTTTTGTACCTGATATCAATAGAGTCAACATCATGAATTTTCTTGTCATGCATAAATAAGAGGGTAGATTATAAGTTATTAAGATAACCGACCAACAACTATACTTGGAACTTAATGACTTGTGAGGATTGATACCATTAGCGGACAAGGCTAATCTAAGATTCTGTTTTTCTTCTCTGAATTCTTTCCATGTTCTATCAACAAGCTTCCAAGAGGGGTAATCGCGAGGATGACTTAGCATACCGTTATTAGCCCGACCTTGTGCATGCCAAGTTAAGTCTTGTGCCATTTCTGGTGACGAAAACATTCTCCTAAATCTGGGGTTGGGATGAAAATACCACAAAACTTTCGAAGGTACGTTTTTGGTATTCTTCTTCCAACGATATGTGCCACAAGTTGGACATTGAGAAGCTTCCTTATGTTCTTTCCAGAATAGAACACAATCATTTTCACATGCATGAATTTTTTCATATTGTAGACCTACTCCTTTTAGCAATTTCTTGGCATCATATAGGGAGTTAGGTATTCTATTGTTTAATGGTAAGACATCTTTTAGGGCACCTAACAATACTTCAAAACTAGCCTCAGACCACCCAAATTAACCCTTGATATGTTGGAATTTCAATAATCCACTAAGTGCATTATACTTTGACCCTACGTAAAGTGGCTTCTCACATTCTTCAAGAAGTGACTTCAATGAATCGGGTTCTTTTTCTACATCTCTGAAGGCATCATGTAGCATATCTCTTGTATAATCAAAGTCGGGAGGAATAGATTTGTTAGGGCATCTAGAATCAAGCTCGGGCTGTCTTTCTCCATGGAAAGACCAAACCTTATAACTTTCATCGAAGCTATAGGCAAACAGATGATAGCGCACGGTCTGAATTGAGTGGTGCCACAAATTGATACAATGTATACAAGGACATCAAATAAGATCTTAATTTGGATCATTACTTTGTGCAAAGTCTAGAAAGGTGTTTACACCCACTTCATATGCATCAGATAACCTATCAGACGAAATCCATGCTTTATCCATCAACCATTACTTACCAACCTAAATAATTATAAAGTATTAGCAAAACTACAACTTTATAACTGATGATTGATGAAATATTTATGTAAGATATGAAGAACAAAATGTTTACCCCAAATTACCGAGTACAAAGTAACTCTAACAAATTCATTTTGTACTATGCTATAGAACAATGTTCAAGGGTTATGACCCATTCATAAAATCTAAAAAACCTATTCGAAACTGGAACAAACCCTAACAATGTTAAATAAATTATTAATGTTAGCCTATTCGATATCTTCTAACGTTCTTAGTGTTAGCCTTAAAATCTCTGTCTTGTGCTTATTGTAATTTAAGTTGAAGCACATGGTTGTAACATGAGAAAGCCTCATTGCCTATATTCGTAATCATCATTCAAAGAATGTATTCTTATCTAAGTTAATAATCGTATTTTACGTTACTTGAATTCGGGTGTGAGCATCAGATAGGATTACATGTCTTAAACGATTATATTAGACAGAAGATTCTTAAAAGTCATATGCTAGTACCCATATGACAGACAAAAATGTTAGAAATAAACACTTCAAGAAAAGAATGAAAAGTCGGAGCAACATATAGTTACAAAATTCGACTAAAATAAATAATAAGATAAGATGCCACTAACCAGTATACCCAGAGAACTGTGGATATTATGTATAGGGCATTTCTTGAGAGAGACTCAACAAAGGAATGTCATGTTCCATCCAATGATAGCATCCGTGCCAAAGTTATGCCAACCTACATTTATCAAAAACAAATATTAAATTTCAAGATGGAGTGTTTAGTTAAACTAGCAAAATAATAAAAAGGGAACTATGCTACTCGAACGTAAGTATGAGTGTCGAATACATGTATTATTAGATTTTTTAAAGTTATTTCTATGCATTTAGAAGATCTTTGGAGGTCATATCCACATATCTATATGTCCGACACAAAATGTCAAATATTGATACTTCAAATGAAAAGAAGAATCCAAACAACATAGAAAGCAGAAAAAGGTAGGAAAAGTTGTGTTAGTGAAACATTAAGTACCAATGCAAAGGACAGACTCAGATATTTAAAGCCTCTTCACTAATGAAAAGTCCACAACCAACCATAAGCAACCAAAAGTAAATCCATCTGAAACATGGCAATTAGGTAAAAACTTGGAACCATTATAGTTAGCGAATGAAATACATATGTGGGAACTGGGAAGCAAAGACACCTCTCTTACTCCTCATTTTTTTTAAACAAAAGAATCTCAAACATAATATAACCTTCCAAAAATCCTCGAAATATATATTATTGTAGGGTCATTTAGACCTATATCGCTTGGACTCGGAAGTGAGTAACGGATACGAGATTCTTTTTGAGGTTTGTCCATTTAGGACAATGATACTTCAAGTCAAGTGAAACAAGATATGTCTGTAAACATTTCAACAAGCATAAAAAAACATATATCACACGACAATCAAAGTTCAACATTTTTGAACCAAAATACATAATCCATCAAAACCCAAAAATCAAAAAGAGATCAAGAACTAGTATAAGAGTCCACTGAAGTAAAAAAACCGAAATAACCCACTTAAACAACCTATGAAATGAACAAATCAGTAGCGATTAAACAAATAATAGAAAATAAAACAAGCATGCATGCAACAAATCTCGATTAAAAAAAACATATATGAAGTAAAAGCATCAAACCCATTAAATCAGACAAAATAGAAATCAACAAACCCACAAATGTTGGAATAGAGAACGAGGATTACCTGTGGAAACCCTTGATTTTTGACTCCCTCGACTGCGTTGTGGTGAATGGTTAAACCGATACTGGGAGGTTGCAAAGACAAAAAGGGAGAAGAGAAAAATAGGGGAAGCACGACGTGAACTTTTGTTAACCAGGGGGAAGCAGAAGCGAGAAATTAAGGATGAAAAATAAGGGGGCGGAATTAGAATACGACTCCTAAAGATGACACACAAAATTCATCTGTACTCCGTGTTTTTCTAAATTTTTTGGATTATGACTATTAAATATGACACACATTATTGTAAGTCATAAATCGTTCAGATTTTAAAAAACATGACATTTTTTTATGACACACATGTTTTGCAAGTCATAAATTAGCGTGTGTCACCGTTCGTGTGTCATTAAAGGTATATTTTCTTGTAGTGATGATCTTTTGATCATAGTTTAAGGGCCTATGATATACTTTACTATTTTCTAAAGCCTTGTCTTTCTTAAATAACATTTTGCAATTGCAAACCTCTTTAATTGGATGATGGAAAAGAAGTATATTGAGTCATTAACTTATGTATACATATGCATACATATTTGGCCTAAGAAGATTTGCTTCAATCATCAATATATAATAAAATAACCAGAAAAAAATAGGTCATGTTGTAAGCTTATGGGAAGTTGGAAACCCTACATGATCTTTAGTTTTTAATGTTTGCAATATTCCGTTTGCTTTTAGTATTTAAATTTTAAGGTTTATTTTTCTGTAATCACTTATATTTAATTTATTAATCTATCAATTCAAATTGAAAAATATAAAAATTTATTGTGATTTAAACTCTTAATCCTGCTTAATAAACTTAACAATGCATTCAAATTTACCAATTCAAATTGGTTACTATATAAACTCGTTATGAGGTTTGAACGCCACATCCAGATATACCAATTCATATTGGATGCTATATAAATTCATTATGAGGTAATCTTTTTTATTCACTTTATTCCATCCACAATATTAAGATTTGAACCCTAATCTTGTTTAAGAGGCCTAAAATCACACCCAAAAGCATTAACTCAGATTGAGTAGCATATAAACTCATAATGAGGATCTAACACTGCATCCAAATATACCAATTAAGATTGGACATTATACAAACTCATTACGAGGTAACCTTTTATATCCAATTTATTCAATTCACAATATTAAAATTCGAAGTCTTAATTATACTTGAAAGACCTAACACCATATCTAGATATATTAATTCAGATTGAGTAACAAATAAACTCATTACGAGGATCTAACACCGCATCAAGGTATACCTATTCAGATTAGATATTATATAACCTCATTATGAGGCGACTTTTTCTATCCAATTTATTCGATACACAGCATTAAGATTCAGATTTATAGTAATAGTCGATTTAAACCGAATGATAAAAAGTAGAAAGGCAAATATTCCCCATTTTCCAATGTTGAATACACCTGGATGGATCGTGCAATTGTGAGTGATGAATGCATGGTTGTAGAAACTGAAGCTTGCTGTAATCCGTGCATTGACGAAAGGACATGGTGGGGGTTATTGCTCTTCAATAATTTGCCTTTTTTTTTCATCATTGCATCAGTAACTTTCTGTATGCAAATATTGGTTTGAAGACGGAGGAGAATAATTGCATATTATTGTGTACTCTATTTGCTAAAATTTTAAATGATAACTATAATGATTAACATCCTTATCATCACTTCATTATTTTTTGGTTGAAACTTAATAGACGTAGCCATTGACAAACATTGCTTTCTTGGCCTCTCCGATTCTCCCTCGCCAGTGT